GTGTCGTTAGGATCGTTAACGCTGGTACTGCCGAGCAATTAGAGTGACTTTTCTATAGTGTCTTGACACTGGAATTGCTGGATGGCTGAAAATCGCTTAGGGTAAATCGAGGTGAATCGGATCGGATTTTGCAGCGAGAAACTTATCGTTAAAACGGAGTGAATTTTTCTCGTAAATATTTAGTTTCGATATCAGTGAAAATTTTGAGGAACTTGGACACTCATGCTTCTTGAACGAAGAACTGGAAAGTAATATCACGGTGAAAAAGGTGTGGTTTTTTTAGGAAATTGTTGAAGTTGATTCAGTACCTAAATTAAAAGTTTGACAAGTACACTTGTAATTTCCGTAAAGGAGTTCGGAAAAGGCGGTTTAAGTGCTGGCTGGTTGTAGCGTTGAAACAGAGAAGCGCGTTTCCCGATGCGACAAGTTAATTGTATATCTCGTTAAAGTCGTATCGCATGGAAATCTTCGACTCATTGTCCGGTTGTACGGTCTAACTCCGTTACACTGGGAAAGTTCAAACCCGCAAATCGCAGCGGAGAACGCCGTTGCGTCGAGTATCCTTGGCGCGAGGAATCTTCGCTCGTTCATCGCATCATGTACTATTTCTGAAGCGTTCATCCGCGAACCTGCGAAGTCGCGTTCTTCCATGGAACGGCGAAACTGATTTCCCGAAGCATTCGATGATTCCGTGATCGCAGAGCTTCGTTCGTGTTTGAGATTCGGTTCAACGGAATCACGTCAAATCGCGCGAAAGTCGATGAAACGTCGCGCGAACGCGTCGGACACACGCGAATCGCTGTGCTGCTAGCACATCGAGGTGTCTGTAACGCGATAAACCGTCGCCGCTGAATTATTTATGCGTCTCCGTGTGAAACGCGCTGACGAAACGTCGGATGACCGATAGGCGAGAAAATGTGAGCCTTGACGGGCGTAATTCGTGCGCGAGACACCTTCATCGTCGAAAATCTGTCGTTGGTGCAATTTTCGGAGAAAAAAGACCTTCGGGAAGGTTGAGGAAATGCAGAGATCTGTCGATTGCGGTCGCCCTAATGAAATTTCTCTATAATCTGTCTCAAAGAGTCTACTCACTGAATTCGTCTAAAATAATTCGCTTTCACTGAATAGTGAATCTAATCTACTATCATTTATCAGTAGATTAGATTCACTATTCAGTGAACTATCTATCAACTCGAATCGCATTAAGTTTATATTTTCTTTCTAGCAAATAGCGTCGCAATGAAAATCGTCATTCAGCTTCTGAACTCAAACGAAAGGCATTCTTCAATCTATTTTGCAAAGACCGTGGCACTCAAACGATTATATTATACGTTCTATTACATTAGAACATCTCCTATCCGAACCAGCAAACGCCGAGTCTCTAATCCATGAATTCCGTACCGACTCTATTATCCTCGTCGACGCGTCGTCATTCCCTCGTTAAGCGTCGAGCGTAGTAAACAAAGCTGGTACGTTCTTACGAGACAGACTGTAAGTCCCAGCAGCAAAGAATCAACTTTTTTCCTATCGACTGTGGTGCGGCACCCGGCCGATGTAAACTCGCGCGCGGTGTAACCCAGTTCTCAGCCGCGGCAGCGTCGTTGAACAGGGTCGCCGGTGAACGCACTCCATTACTCTAGCGGCCGGTTCCTCGCGGCTCCTCGGCCGGGCCATCGGTAACACTATTATTAGGAACGCGTTAATCCGCGGCGAGAATATTCGGTCAGCGAGCTGTGTTTTCACCCGCGCGCGTTATCATCGCGAAATAGTCTGGTACGAGCGTGTTCCTCGACAGCTCTCTGGGACTCGGTGGTGATACCGGTGCAGCCTGTTCTGGGATAACCCTTTCGAGGACGTCGATTCGTATCTTTCGATTTCTATGCTTATTTCTATATTCGTGTATCTGTGTGTTGTATTTAGAATCGAAGCTGAATATTTTGTTCAGTAATGTTTGTTTATTTCATTATTTGAAAGACGAGTGAACTCTAAAAGATCCGCGTCCTCGAAGGATTAATGCTGTTCGGGATGAATATTTGTTCCGTTCCTGGCCGATTCGCGGTAGATCGGTGAAACAGGTCGATCGAGAAATGTTTCTCCCGTGTTCCTTGAACTTCGAATCCACGGTTTCTCCCGTGGACACGGATACTGTAGCTTTCTTATAATCAATATGCGCGAGCGGCGGAATATTCGTCGAGTTCCGATTTCATAGAAAGTGGTCACGTGAAATTTATCGAAGGTAAAAATACGCTGCGAGAGTTGAACGTGTCGTACTGTTATATAAGAGGCTCGGGGATTTCAGTAGGTCGTTATCCGTGGAATCTGTTACAAGTATACGTTACACGCATGCATATTCAGTTTGGAATTCTATAAACACTCTTCGCCGCGCGGCTCTCCGCGACAAACCGTCCTCTGTTGGGCACCGCGCGTGCACGACAATCGGGACAGGACTGTAAACTCTGTAACACCTGTATTAACGAAGCGGCTGCGCGTGTTCATTGTTCAAAGTACAATGTGCGTCTGTTCTCTGCGAAGGACGAGCGCATTCCTGCCGATTAAACCGTGGATTTTACAGTGGTATTCGATGCTAGAGCCACCAGGTGGATCAAAGTGACCTATTTGAACACTTTATTTCACGAGTATTGAGACTAAGATGCTTCTGTGAGCAGCTGTTGACGCTGGGTTTACGAACATTCGGTTTATATTGAATTTTATGAACTTCATTTCATGACTGTGCGAATTTTGATCAATCTGATTACGGGAAGTTGGGAATAGACGATTAGGATAGAATTTTCAAACCTCGAGTTCCTACGATCGAAATGAACAGTTTGTATAACACAGGAAACTCGAATAAATGTTCGTAAACCTGTCGAGTAGCTTCGCGTTAAACCAGAAGGAACGTACTTTTCATTGCTCTAATCTCCCTGTGGTTCTATTAATATTTCAGCGTCGACCGAGCAGCATCGGTTTTATGAAATTCTCATCGGATTCGAGACTAGAGCGTTTAACTAAATGAAATGGGTTTCGGCTCGATCGGAATTAGCATGTAGCGTTTCGGAAACGTTTGTGCCAGCTGTTTAACCTTGGACAGCGCCGCGATATCCTCGATGGCGATTATAAATATTGATATGTTCGAGCGGAATCTAATCTGCCGACCGAAATAACACGATCGCCTCGTGGAACGGTGGGCCTCGGTGTGTTCCGAGTAACTTCTTGCTGATTTACAAAGCGATACCACCGGCTAATCGTGTGTACAGCCTTATCGGGGCTGATCTCGAGCAAATACTCGAAATTCCGAGCGTCGATAGGACCGCGATCGTCTCTTCTGTTCCCGTGTGAATCGGTTGCTTTCGTCGAGCGGAACCTTTCCGAGCGGATTTGCGGTCGAATGACAGCGGCCGCCGGCGGGTCTGCGTTCCTCGTTTAACAGTAGAGCTACCGAGCAATTTGTTTCATTAACTCTATTCATCGCGCGTCTCACTGAAATAATTTATTCATAGAGTGACTAAGCTCTAATTTCTTTTTCGTAAGCATTCGAACACTCTCATTTTCATCAAATCTAGAATCTTGCCAAAGAGTTTCAATTTAAACATTTTCAAAATGAACACTGAAATCGATCAATTCGAACCATCCTGTTCTGTAGTTTCATTAGATTAAATTAGAGATATAACAGAATCGATTAACGAGACAGCTGCACGAACATTAATGGACGAGGAATTTCGATATTCCGCTTATCGATGCATTATGCAAACCTTAATTATTATACATGAAACTCATTTTGCGATCGAATCAAGCGATGACAGTCATTTCTCCGGCGCAAGGGGAAGAGTAGGAACGTTCGCGTTTGCGATCGATCGAAAGTGGTTGATCGTTCGCCGGCGACGGGTCAGCGAGTGAGCAGCTGCGAATCGACGACGTCCGTAGTACCCGCAATTACGCGTGTTCTTACGCGCGGCGTCGGTTAAAGGTAGCGGCGAGAAGTTAACGCGGTGCCGGTCTAAAATTAAGTTAACCGACTGCCAGAGAGAGAGACACTTCTGATTCACCTCGAGCCGAAGGGTTTTATTTGGAGATGGGCCAAGGGCAACGGACTCTCCTCCGCGGATTTACGGGTCAAGCGTTCCGTTTCGACCTTGAAAAACAGAGGAAAAAAAGAGACGAGGAAAAGAAAGACTCGTCGCGACGCAGTAGTGCCTCTCGCCGACGATCGGGGAAACGGAATCCGTTCGCAGCTCCTCCGCGCTGTCCTTCGATAATTGCATCGAATGGCGTCGGAGCGTTCGACTTGAGAACGTCCGTGAGAACATCGACGTTCGACCCTTTATCTCGCGAAGATGCTCCAGAGTTGCGTGCAGATGTGAATCAAATTGTGTGAATCTTTTAACACTGGAACTACCGAGTTTGATACTATCGATACGTAGTCCACATAAAAATTCTGACAATAGATTATTTCCGGTGACTTTGAAACACAATCGCTGTCATTAGTTTCATCGCTAGTTTCAGCGGTAAATAGTAAGAAACTTGGAAACAGTGCTCCTAACACAATACCAATCGCTATTAATAGCTATTAACGACGACAATGCCGAGCACAATGGCTAATCACGGTAACAACCGCGGTGAGAATACCAATACCGCTAACACGAGTCCACTAATTCACAAGATAAAGGGTCGGAACCGATTGGAGCTCTCCGAAGCAATTACTCGATGAAAAACCGATGGCCTCGGGTCGCTCGCCCAAAGGCCGCGTCATTGACGATCCATTTCCCGGATCGGTTGGACCGAGCCCGTCAGTGTTCAGTCGGCGCGAGCTTCAGAGCGCGTCGCCGTGCCGCGCCGTGCCTCCGAAGGCCTGGTTAGACGAGGTTAATGGAGGAATTTGTTGCCATCAACGCGGAATGTAATGCAATTTAATCGACGCGCGGACGCGCCGGACAGTCGACGACGATGCTGCACGCGAAACGGCGACCGCGCACCACTTATCGTCCTCCCTCTTTTGATTACAGAACGTAGGGGAGAGCCGGATACCGGTGCCACGGGCGGCCAGGCCCTCCTTCTTCCCCAAGTCAAGGTTGCTCGGCACCCCGACGCTGGTGCCGGGACACCGACGCTCGCTGGTGCTCTCGGGATGTTTGCAGTTCGTTGATGCGGAGGGCGAGCCCACCAATCCCAAACTAAAGGCCGGGCCACGCAGGGCGGTGTCCACGCCGATCGAAGGTACACACGGCTTTTTTGGGTCACGTCGAACGTCCGTCACAGCACTTCGGGATCGCCTTACTCCGCTGGCAATTCGGGAACCAGCGGAGCTCACCGATTTTCCGGGACTTTCGATGTTCACTCGATGTACAGTGGCGTTCGAAATTTTCTTATAGAAAGGCTGTATGAACTCTTTGTTGAGGGGATACTGTAAAAGATCAGCATCTATTGGTTGTATATATTTTTGTAGAGATGAATAGTTCGGTTTATAAATGAAAATAGTTATTGGTTTTTATTGTAATAATTTAACGTGTAGTATTTGACATATTGCAGTTAGTGTTTCGTGATTATACCCTTTACATTAATAATAGTGTCACGTCGATGTGACATGGATTTGATCCCAAAAAGAATGTAGCCAGAGGAACAGCGAAGGAAAAGAGGAGTATGCGTTTTTTTAGCTGAGTAATCGGAAATTTCGTGTCGAGTTGGCTAAGGAATCGATAAGACGACCCCGCAGAGGCCGAGGAGGGGTAGAAAATGTAATAAGCATAAGTGACTCGGAAAGGGAACGGTTTTTTTAGTGATACCCTTTGTTTTATTCTCGAGTTTTATGCGTTACGACGGAAGTATTAATTGTTACCTTTCGTTGACAGATTCGGGACGGAAGACGTTCACGATATCGCCTGTATGGGACATCGAGAAAGATGACGTGCAACAGTTGGTTCACTTCACGGAGGAAAAGGGCAACTTTTTCAGGTAAAGCCGCACGCGTTCGGCTGCATCTCCATCTGTAGCTCCTGCGAACGACATTGGAAAGCAAACTCGAGGTTCCCGTTAAATTGCGACGGCTCGCAGGGCACGGTCTCCCGAAAATCGTTTTACGACCTGCGCTTTAACCCGAGTCGCGTTAACCATATAAACATCTGGGCGGGAACAATGAAAAAAGGGAGCGGCCTTCCGCGTGTGAACACGTGGCCGTCGCAGAAGGGATTCCGGTTGTTGAATAGCTACCTGACGCCTTGAATCATCGCTGTCATTTACGGGCGAGCATGTTTTGTGCAGATGGGAGGCGAACGTAGATGGTAAAGTGGTATTGTGCGAGTCTAGCCGTTGGAGCTTCAGGTGTGCGCCGTGTGCACCGGGCGGTCTCAACGGCAAGAACTACACAGTGCCTTATTAACGCTAGAACTACCAGATGCGTCCAAGTGGCCCATTCCTGATTCCTTCTTTCACGAGTATCGGAAAGGTACAGATGCTATAAAGAAATTGTCTCGGTAGCGAGCAAATTCAAGTACAGATCAATTGAAATCTTAATAAATACTCTAGTTTCTGCATAGAAATTGAGAAAAGACAGCTTGAATGCTTGATAGTTCTAGTGTTAAACATCTACAAATATGTCCATTTCATACTAGTTTAGGCCCTAAGCTTCAGATTCTACCTAGTGAAAGCTTGAAACACAGAAATCTACATTGTCCTGTTTGTTCCGCAGCTTGCTCGAGAACTCTCAGATGAATATGATCGAAGACATCGCGGAGAACTGCCTGCTGGACGCGTCTTCGGGCTCGTACAACGACAATGTGGCGAACGCGACGCCGCACTATTTGATGCTGAACAAGCAGAACTCGTTCGAGCACGACGAGAGCCTCGGCATACTGACCCCGGACCAGATGACCGACTTCACGGTCGCGTTGGAGTGCTCCAGGACGCCATCCTGCGAAAACCTGACGGGATCAGCAGCCTCGAGACTGGCGTTAACCCGCGCATCCGCGTCGACACCGTCGCCGGAGGAGCTACCGTTGGACCCGAAGCCCGCGGAGCCGGTCAGGGCCTCCGACCCCATCAGTTTCGTTACCTCGGTCACTAGTATCACCAGCCTGGAGGCCGGCTACCAAGGCGACGGGGAGAACTCGAGGCCGGCGAGTCGTGGCGCGGATCCTCCCTCCGTCGCGCCTCCACCGAACCTTCCCGCACCCTGCAGGTAGCGATGAGCAGTCGAATCCGAATTCTGAAGCAATTCCATGCCCCTAACACACTCGCGTAAAATCTAAAAGCTATAGCTGAATTTTGCTAGGGTCTGCTGTTCAGATGCGTATCAGCATAAAAAATATGATAGGACTATGTTGCCAGTAGTTAGCTATATATTTTAAAATCACCTAGGATCGAGTGACCGATATTCTTTTGAAAAGGTTAGAAATAACGTAGGACTATGGTACTGGTATCAAAGAATTTTTAAGTGATACAGAACGACGTTGCCAATATCGAATGTGTGTCACAGTTCGAATCGCTTTGAATAGGATTCAATAGCCTTCAATCTTTCGGTGTCTTGGGCGTATCAAAGTTTTGGAAGTCTCGAGGTCTTCGAGTCTTGAATTCGAGGTTTGCAAGACAAGTAAGAGTTGGAGAGTATTGAATGATATTTGGAGCGACTCGGAACCTCCGCTATGTGTAATTATTCGAAACGACTCGAACTCTTGGTAACCAATTGCTACCTGCAGGCAAGACCCGATGACAGACTCGGATTTCTTCACGGAGAGCGACGCGGACGCGTACGAGGAGATCGTGCGCGGCGATAGGAAAGCCCAGGTGATCGATGGCACGCTGTTCTGCGCGCCCGGCGGACGGCGATGTCCCAGCTTCACCGGCGAGGAGATGGATTCCAGTGGAATCTATTCGGACCTCGACAAGCGGCACGACGAATTGCACGCGCCTGAGGAAGCGGCCGAGGAGAACGAGGACCGCACGCCGGACACCATAGACACGGAGGTCTCTCAGAGGAGCCAACCGTCGCCGGTCAAGCCGGACGCCTCGCACGTTGTGATCGATTTCATGCAGGCGAGTCAGCGAGATTTGTCGCGGGGTCGTTTCATAAGTTCCGTAGGTATACAGGTCGCAAGATTCTAGTGTCGCTGGAGAATTGTAACGCGCGAACTTCGGGACGAAACGGTCCAGCCAATTGCTGCACCGCGGCGCCTTAGATTACGTTACTTTAAGAAATTGCGAAGGTTTACGACTGCACCAATTGTCACGTGTAGCTTTATTTATGACACCGTTCATCGACAGTGGGTGTCCGTAATCACCCTTAATAGCTAGGGGTCAAGAGGGCGAACGTTTCCTTGTAAATAAGGCGACGCCGTTGATTGTTTAAGGCTGCTATAAATGCCGATGAATGTATTCAACCGTTATGAAACGACCACACGTAGGAAGCGTGCATGCGTGCGTGCGATTGTTAATGTGATCGTGGGATCGGTTCAGGTACCCCCGAGTCCTCTGGACGCCACGGGCGACTCCAGCGGATCGATCAACGCCACCGGCGAGATCACGGTGATCGAGGTGGAGAGGAACAACTACAATCTGAGGGCGAAGGTGCAGAGTAAAACCGACGCGGTTCCGTTGAAAAAGTACAAAATGCCGAAGAGGAACGTCGTGTCCAAGATCAAGGCCATGATCGAGTCAGGCCCGAAGGACGAAGGCGAGAAGGAAGCTCGACGCTCGCAGAGGTCGTCCCGCAAGGGTGGCCGCTGGGACGCCGTGATGAGCAAGATCGAAGCTGGGAAGAACGAGCAGCGGACGAGGCCTGCTAGGAAAGAGGTAAAGTCGCGGGTGCTGCAGAGCATCGGCCAACCACCTCCCCCGGGACCGAAGCAAAAGAAAGCTGGCGATGCCAACAATAGGTGAGCCACTATCGCGAGTCCGAATCGTGGTGTCTTCCGGTACAGCGTGTCGCTGAGAGATTTCTGATTCCGGCAGGAGAACGCGGGGACGGCAGGACACGAAATCGCCGACACAAGAAACTGCCAGGAGCTCTGTACGTAGCTCCTTGAGTGACCTCAGCACTGGGCCTAACAAAGATGCGTCAAGTAAGTTCCATCCATTCGTATCAAGTCATGCCATACGTAAGGTCGTTTCTTTGTAAGATATTTAACGTCGCTTCGAAAATGACATTAAAACATTAGTCGAAAAATGGAAAAAATCATTTGACCTTAGAAATTAGCAGGAAGACGATATTACGTATGGGATTACTCAATGTTATTGTTATTGGCTCGACGACGAGACTCGTGTACAGTGGAGCCTCGATTATCCGAATCGTCGTGCGAACGCACTTTTATTTTCACTGTGACGCGGTCCTGTTCACTCTTCCTTGTTCGAAGGCAGAGAGTTTTTCCTTTGAACCGTACGCCTGAACCGTGAGAATGTCGCGCCCGGGTACTCATTGCACTCGCGCTGGCCTGTAGTAAGGTATACTTTAAATACGAGACGGATGGAGAGGAAAGAAGGCTGTCGTATTGTGGCGGTAGTGACAGGAGGACCTTGCGGAGAACGGAGGAGCTTGAATAAACATGATGCCGGGCGATTTTACGATATCGAATTATGCTCGACCGCATGCCACGCGTTTTTATCAATGGAAAAAAGTGCCGACCGCAAAGGTCGGCAAATGGGTAGCCGTTTCACGCTTAATATTCGCGTCTCGGTATTTCGAACGCAGTGATTTTTCAATTTTACACTGCTTCGGTGTTATCGTCATCGGTTTTAAGAAATACTCCTTTAAGAAACTCTGATAACCTACGATCCTTTCAACCCTGAAGATACATTTAACCTTGAAGCAATTTCCACGACGATAGCACTCGAAAGTCTCTTAAGGTAGCAATGTTTCATTATATTTTCTCGTCATACCGCACCGAAACAATACGACCAGAAATTGATCGAGAAGATTACCGGTTCTCGTTGATCAAAGATCGAGGTCCACCGGCTCAAGCGAGTCGCGGGAAAAGGGTTAAAGCTCTGCACAAAAGAGGCGCGAACCAGGTCAGAGGCCATTAAACGAGAGCCGCTTTCCTCCCGTGGAAGAAAAGCGATTCTCTTCGAGAATTCCCCAACCGGTCGAGAGCCCACATCTCGACAATTCCAGGGTTAATCCTTGTTAACCAGGGGTACGTTATATAATTCCCGCGGCGTAAATCACCCTCGCAGCGGCTAATTGCCCTCCGTGGCGCGGTGTGTCTCTTAATGACTCATATCCTTATTACCTCCGTCGATCCTAAGAAAACTCGATTCAGAATTGTGCTCGGAATTACCGCGTCGCCAATTCCGGACCAGGTTAACGCGTTCGTCGACTAAACAGTCTCGCAAACATCTTCCCACGAGGCGCCTGAACAGTATATAATCCCATTCCCCGGTAACACGCCCTTACCCTAAACACCATAAACCCGTGGTCAGCGGTAGTCGTTACGTTCGCCTGATCTTTTTGCTTCCTCGGGATTCGGGAATTCCTGAATTAGTAATCGATCCCCTTTGCCCTGCAGAGACTGCAACGCGAAAATTCGGTTCAGCAAAATTTTGAAGTTCGATATACGTGTGACTATCCTATACGCAAATTGTGAATAGTAACATTCACACTCCATTAGAAAACGATGAAAATTACTGATCAAATCGTCCAGTATAAAACGCTAATTCCCCGAGAGCCAAACTATTTCTGTTAAAAATCCCGAATCCTTGGAACGAAAGGAAAAATTGCTGCGAGAATCGTAAAGCTTCTCCACCGACGAAAAAGTCAGCTGTGCTCGAGTCGATCCAATCTGCAGTCGCAATCTCCACCCCCAATCAGCAGGAAAATCGTCGGTATCATCAGGGTCACGACACAGTACCGTGACAATATCTCCGAACGCCGAGTCAGAGTCGATTGATCAGACTTTCGGGCAGTCGACGTTCGTCGGCAAAGGTCAAAACAAGGGTGACCCACCCCCGGCCCTGCTGCTCCACCGTCAGACACTGGATCAATTCCACGCAGGCGTCTTGGGCTTGTCTTCGCCGCGCGTAGGCGGCGACTTGCCGTCCGCAGAGGCGAATCAGGGTGGTGTCCCCGCGTGGGTGGGGGCTGTTTTTCTATCGACCGGCGGGGGTTGGAGGGGCACGC